GTTACCATTTGTGACATGAAATTTTTATGCGAAGGAAAGTGCAGATTCATAAATTCATGTTTAACTACGTGAATTTAAACTAACATGAATTTTACTTACCATAATTACCTTTCAAACTATTTTAATATTTGACATCTTGTCAAATATTAAATGTAATTGAAGATTTTGTGACGCGAGAATCCAGAAGAATTCAATTATAATTTTTTTAAATTGTGAACAATATTTTTTTGTACCTACTTAGTATTGTATGCTATTAGTAACAAAATTAAATTTCCATTTTTTAAAATCTGTACACCTGACACCTTCTGAATAATAGTTTCAGATATATACTTTGTTATAAATTATAATTTACTATTTCCAAAACATAGATACACTAGGCGATTTAGTGGTGCCCGTAGCACCACATTAATACGTATTATATTAGTTTATAAATTAGCCTAGTTCTGTGATCTGACTCCAAGCCATAATTGCATTTAGGAGATATTATGCGAGCGTGTCGATACTCCTCACTGATACCTGATTGAATTTTTATTCCGGTCAAATAAAAAAAAACAGTACACCGCAACATTCATTAACTTATATATTTGCCCAGTTCTGTCTCTCTGTCTGTATGTCTACCAAAAGTCACGACATTCCCGTGCCCTTCCATTCGAAGTAAGCTGGATGCAAATTTAGTTGTGGTAGAATCGCTACCCAATGTCAAGACATTCCCGTGCCCTTCCATTCGAAGTAAGCTGGATAAGATTTAGTTCTGGTAGAATCGCTACCCAATGTCAAGACATTCCCGTGCCCTTCCATTCGAAGTAAGCTGGATAAGATTTAGTTGTGGTAGAATCGCTACCCAATGTCAAGACATTCCCGTGCCCTTCCATTCGAAGGAAGCTGGATAAGATTTAGTTGTGGTAGAATCGCTACCCAATGTCAAGACATTCCCGTGCCCTTCCATTCGAAGTAAGCTGGATACAAATTTAGTTTTGGTAGATTCGCTACCCAATGTCACGACATTCCCGTGCCCGTCATTCGCGTGGAGTATAACTCAGTCAAGTCATTATGCTATTATGCACCTAACCGGCAGCAATAGGTAGCAATTTTTATATAGGTAATTGACTTGGATTGTTCCGAATCAAATCAATATCAAAGGAAGACGACCATCAATCAGTCTCCATAGCACCACTCAATCTCGACGGCTCACATCGTATCCCTTACATGCTTTAATCTATAACATGGCAAGGATGCGTTCCGGACAGACAGACAGACAGACAGACAGACAGACAGACAGACAGAACTGGGTAAATATATAAGTTAATAACAGTGAGTGAGCCACCACCATGCGAGGTATTTTTCAGATGCTTTTGATTAACGTACTCATTCCTGTCCAACGCACATATTATCACTATGCTAAGTTCCCCCTAGCATTAGATGGAAGCGTAGTGCAATGGGAATGTCAAGGGAAGGACCTTCCCCTGCGACAAACCTACTTCAACCAAGTTTTGGCCTTAGTGCAATGGGAATGTCAAGGGAAGGGCATACCCCTGCCGACAAACCTACTTCAACCAAGTTTTGGCCTTAGTGCAATGGAAACGTCAAGGGAAGGGCATGCCCCTGCCGACAAACCTACTTCAACCAAGTTTTGGCCTTAGTGCAATGGGAATGTCATGCGAGCGTCATTCCTTTCCAGACAAACATAGTGCAACGACACTATGTGAACGCCCCTCTTTCCTATGTATCCCCTCAATGTAAAAAAATAGATATGGAGTCTCAGCTAAACAGAGTATTAGCAGGAATTGAAATATATTCCCTACATTGAAGGGATGCGTAACAGACAGACAGAACTGGGTAAATATATAAGTTAATATTTGAAGTATTTTAGGGTGAATGCTAAAAAAATAAGTGACGTATTTTGAACGATTTGCATTAATTATTATTGAAGGCATTAATAAAATGACTATATTAACCTACGCTTCATCGGTATGTCGCATATTCATCGAGTTAATCGTGAAAACAAAAATTTAGTCTAAATTTTTATTTTACATTATGGTAAGAATACATAGATACGCGAGCACCAAAGGTGCGAGCGGGTTAGGGCGCCGATATATGTCTTGCCCAGGTAAAAATTTGGGCTGGGACGGGGCCTGCTGTCTGATAATCAATACTGAATTTATCTCTATTTTCCTCATTCGACTGCAAAATAAACAAAATATTATCTATGTAAATATTTGTCTTTAAATTTGTCTTTGTAATTAATTAAGTGATCATAAATGGAAATATGTAACATAAAGATGGCACAATGAATAAGGAAACTTTGTCAAAATTTAATTACACCTGTTTACATTTAGAAGAGTTAATATCAAAATAAAAATAGAGGTCACCCCCGAAATAAATAAAGGAATGTGTGGCATCAAAGTTAATATAAAAAACCTAGTTTCGTATAAAAATGACGTACATTTCCTTTAATTGGGCAGTTACTCCTACTTTTTAGAAGGAAATTGGAAAAAAATTAATATAAATGATGAAATATTTCACCGGAATTTTTGCCGTTTTGGCCTATCGTGAAATTGATGGGCTCCGTCTCGTTGGCATAGATCGGAGTACTCCGGGCTTGGAGTACGTACTCCGGCCTCCGGAGGCCGGAGTACGCGACTATTTCTGGAGGCCGGAGTACGCGGAGGCCGGAGTACACGTGGCCAGCCGGAGGCCGGAGTACGCGGAGGCCGGAGTACGCATGGCCGGCTGGAGGCCGGAGTACGCGGAGGCCGGAGTACGCAAAATTTCCGATCACATAGATAGGAGAAGTCCGGGCTTGGAGTACGTACTCCGGCCTCCGGAGGCCGGAGTACGCGACTTTTTCTGGAGGCCGGAGTACGCGGAGGCCGGAGTACGCGGAGGCCGGAGTACGCGTGGCCAGCCGGAGGCCGGAGTACGCGGAGGCCGGAGTACGCATGGCCGGCCGGAGGCCGGAGTACGCGGAGGCCGGAGTACGCAAAATATCCGATCTATGCTCGTTGGACAGCATGGCATTAAGACGTATTACGTGGAGGAATCGAGATCTGTGAGAAATTTCATAATTTTTGGTTCTAAATTTCAAAATTTTTGGATAAAATTCACTTGATTTTTTTTAAATTCAGTTCAACCACGACCAGGCCGTTGCGTACTGCACTGGACTAAACATGGAACTGGTCAGCCTGGAAAGTGAGGCTGAGCATAGTTATGTTCGTCAAATTTCTCCAGCCAGTGGACCATATCGTAAGAGAAATTTAATTCAAGAAATGGGAAATTGGTAAATAAAATGATCTGTAAAGGCTGATGGACATCTGGAAAAAGTACGGGAATGTTCAGGTGAGCGTCAGGACAAGGGGCTGTGATTGACTGGACGAAGTACTCCATCAAACAGTGGCATCCGTCCTGCATCCTTATGAATCGCGGTGGTCTGTGGGCCGACCCGTGTGATGGGTCACTAGGTCATGTCTACTATCCTGTCTGCCAGCATATCCCGGCAGAGGAGGAGGAAGTGGTGGACAGTTTGACAGATTTTGAGAATTCAGGGGTCACTTTGCAAGAACAGGATTCATAGAAATTTTGGGAGAAAATCTGAACGGAATTTATATTAATGTTTCTGATTTGACCCCATAGGAAAATTGGAGTGTATAATTTGTAATCGGAAAATAAAGCATTTTAAAAGCACTAATCTATTTAGATGAGATAAATTGCAAAAATTATAATGCGATTAACACCTATTGTAGTCACTATTTAATATTTTCTGCATAAAATTGTTAAATTTGTGAATCTATGGATTCAGGGTACTCCATACGGTACTCCATGCGTATTGAGTTTCGCTGCAGGCCGTATTGCCTAAATTATTGTCAATTTATTCCGGTGAGGAGGAATGAGACGGAAGATTAAGATGTGTCTCATCTCGCCTCACCTCATTTAACATTGGATGAGACGAGATATCTGTAACAAGTTATGCGGTAAAACCGCGGAAAAAAACTATTTTTTAACACAAAATACGTAGTATTACATGATTATGCAGAAAACTTGAATTTGACATATCCCGCCATAGCTAAACAACCAGGTAGATTTCGAAAAAGTTGTAAGTAGGAGAAATCTAAGTTTGACTGTCTCCAAGACGGCCCCTCTTTGTTTTAGTCGCTAAAATATAACAGCTTGGCTGTAGAATTGATTAGAAATTAGCAACTGAAATTGCAAAACTTTTGAAAGATTCGAACTTGGTGCCTCAGGGAAGCCGTATTTCGAAAAGAAGGTCCTGAGAAGGGCCCTTCCCACACCTCTCAGGAATCCGAATCCGTCGACGGTTTCGAAAAAAAGTCAAAGTTTCGACATGTTTCTCCAGGCAGAATGAAACGACCTGAAAATCGACATTTTGAATTTTCGCGCCAAAGGGAGGCATGATATGAAAAAAATTTCCGACTTAAATTTGTAGCTATTCCACCTGTGGATATAACCCTGTCGCTAGTTTTTCTCAATCTTTGGCCTAAATCATTTACGGTTGTATTTAGTGTTATTTTGTAAAACAAAACGTTTTGGTGCATATTTCAAAACCGTTTAAAAATTTCAAAAAACGGTATGCGTGCCCTATACCTAGATTTGGTAGACGGTCATAAAGTTCTTTTACATTATCCTCCTATCTTGCAAGGTTTCGCCACACGAGCATTTTTATTTAACATTGGAGTGTCTGCTGACATACTCTACCTTTCATATACACATCCATCAAGTGGACGGGGATGGAAAAAAAAGAAAAAGAGAAATGCGGTTTGAAATGATAGCAAATATGGCGTGTTGATAAGCTCGTAATGATTCATTTGTTTGAAAGAAGGCTAATTGTTCAATTTGTTTATTTGTGCAGAAAAATGTATTTTTTTAGGGATTGAGCACAACCACTTAGTCTAAAGAATTTGGCAGGTTTGTGTAATCTACGCATTAGAAACATCCGGATTAATGAGGCCTGGAACAAGCTAAACTTAGCTTTTGTTATGCATTAAATGCCAAGGTCTTTGCATTTTTTCGTCAGGATCTCACAAGTTGTCGTTGGACCAGACAGGTTCTACGCAAGATTTTTGAGGACTGGTAGTGTGAATTAATTGTATCGGTAATTAGAATTTAAATTTTATTAATTAGTTAAAAATTAAATTTACATACTTAAAATATTGGAACTTGACAGAATTTTCGTATTGAAAACTGTAACATTTACTAAAATAACGAAAATATTTTGAGCTCAATTTTACGGCAGAAATAGGATAAAAAATTCTGCATTATTTCAATTAAAATATTTTAAATTTCAGATCAATTAAAAGCGCACATTGCGCCATGTTTGATTATAATCTTGAATTATTTAAAAATAAGTAACGAAATATTTTACCACCATTTTTTAGATGTCATATCTCCAGCAAAAGTTCGACGGGGCTGAGGGCGAAGCAGCTTTTGAGAAAACGGCCAGCTACAATAAGGCTACACGTAAAATTAGCGCGGCCGATTTGGGTGTCATGTTTGAAAATTTGGGCGCCTTTTGCACCCCGGAGCAGTTGGACGAGTACAAGAAAATGTGGAACGGGCCGTACCATGGTTTCGTTCCGCTGGACATCATGACGAAAATTATGGCGTCTCTGGAAGACAACGCGGAACTCATGAGGGTCCTCGTTAGTTGGGCGGATGTCGACGGAAATGGATTTATCGATGAAAAGGAATTCAACTCCCTGGTGAAATGTTTGCTGGCTCATAACCCGCAATTTCCGATTATTGCGTACGACAACTTTTTGGCGGAAGCGGATACAAATAAAGATGGGAAGATTAGTATCACTGAGGCAGTAGATTGGTTTAGTAAACAGGTAAAAAAGGGTTAAATTTTGACAGAAAGAATCTAAAAATTGAGTTAAGGATTGATTTGGTATGTGACCACAATCTGTAATTTGTAAAATTATATGATAAATAAAGTTAATTATTTCTGAGAGATATATCGTCGTACTAATTTTAAAATGTGCTAAGTGCATTCTTTGATGAGTTTTTAAGTGAGCTAAGTGCAGGAATTTAACATTGAAATCACGTGCACTTAGCTCATTTTAAAATTAAGCAAAGAATGCACTTAACTCATTTTAAAATTAGGCAAACAATGCACTTAACTCATTTTAAAATTAAGCAAAGAATGCAGTTAATTCATTTTAATATTAAGCAAACAAGGCACTTAACTCATTTTAAAGTTAAGCAAAGAATGCGCTTAACTCATTTTAAAATTAGTACGACGATATGTAAGACGTGAATCCTTGTTACTCCATATATTTTTTTATACGCGAAAAGACGTTCAATATACATATGTAGTTTTTCAAAATTCAAACATAATGTGACAGAGACAAACAGATTGAAATATAATTGTGCTAATATAAAAGTTAATCTAATTTATAATCTGTATATAGTAGCAGAGTGCCACGGGTACTGAACAATCGATGGAATTTGATTTAATTTTTATTTCATTGTGGCCAAACCATAATCGACGATTTGACGGGCTACTATGATGGCCGTCTTGATCTGATTTCGATTTGATCAGATCCTGACTTCAAATAATACGAAATTGACATTCTGCCCCCGCTGCTGGATGCTCGACTGACTTATTCTTATTGTGTATGTTGCATGTTGCATTCATGTTTTATTCTAGACGAATCTACATATCGTCGGCTTAATTTTAAAACAAGTCAAGTGCAAAAGATGCTTAATTTTAAAACAAGTCAAGTGCAAAAGATGCTTAATTTTAAAACAAGTCAAGTGCACGCAAATACAATGTAAAATGGCTGCACTTGACTTGTTTTAAAATTAAGCATCTTTTGCACTTGACTTGTTTTAAAATTAAGCATCTTTTGCACTTGACTTGTTTTAAAATTAAGCATCTTTTGCACTTGACTTGTTTTAAAATTAAGCATCTTTTGCACTTGACTTGTTTTAAAATTAAGCATCTTTTGCACTTGACTTGTTTTAAAATTAAGCCGACGATATATTGATTTTGATTTGATTTTGATTCCGATAAAATTAACAGCACTTCTCTGGATGTGGTTCATTATTATAATTATCTCCTTTGGATTGGGAATCTTTGGATTCAGTGTTTCTTCGTAACGGAGGCACCTTCGTAAATTTTGAAAATTAACTTATTCTGTTAGTAACAACTGTGTGAAAATCCTGCAGAAGTTTTTGAGCAAATTGGTACATCCAAATGGATAAAATTGTGGCAAAAAGACGCGGGCATACGACACGGCTAAGAAAAGCCTTTGGTTCGGGATGGAAACTAAAAATGTAAATAATTTAGCTAAACCTATCCCTGTGATTTGTATCGCTATTCAATGTTTGCAATCATTTTATTTCTGTTCGTGGCAAAAATTCAATAATCTTCATGAATAAACAGGTCAGTTTTATTATTTGGTCTTAAACTATTTGTATCTCTTAAATACAAAGTGATGCATCGGGATCTTCGCTAGATAGAAATTAACTGCGTACTAATTCTGAATAATTTTGTCATTAGTATTTTTTAGCAGTTTATTGTATCTCAACAATTTCGACATAGTGGGGTCAATGGGGATGATGATGTTTACAAAGAACTCGTTATTTTATGGTCGTTTGGTTATGTATTTACAAATTATTTGCGAGGCTGGTTTTGGTCATTGGAATCCAAAGATTTGCAGGACGCAAGTGCGCCAAAAGTGTATCTGTTCGACTTTAAGAAATTACTATTTTTATTATAGCCTGAGTTGAGCATTATTGTTGAAGATGGACACAAATCCTAAACACGGGGCTTTGGCGGTCGCAATTTTTTACACGGTATCACAATCAGAACAATTTTATATGGTTTTTTTCATATTTTTTGACATAATTTGATTAACTATCTCATGTTTATTAAAGATTTGTATTATTGCCGTATGGGGAATAATCTTCTATGCTTACAATCCTTGGAATGGAGACACATGTAAGTTAATTACATAATTAATCATAATTTGTATCAGAAGTCAAAAAAATTAACTTGGAATTTTAGACTGGGGTATCTCATCAGACAAATTGTACCTTGTGTTTGGAATAATGTCAGTTATCTTGGTACCGGTCACGGCCCTGTTGTGGGTAGGGTGGAGAAAGGTTAATTAAAATTAATTGATTAATTAATTAATTAACAATTAAAATTTAATTTTGCTTTTGTTCCCTCACATTTGTTTGCAGGAGAATCTCGGATGCACAAAAGCCTGGCTTTACATCAACTACGGTTTATTTGCTGTGGATCTTCTTACGACAAGTTCTACCGGATTTTCTATAGCGCTGGTTATTCGTAGTGTGGTAACTGTAATTTTTATGCTGGTGGTGTACAATTATGCGAAAATGTTGGAAGAAAAGCAACGAGTTGATCCAATTCAAGTTAATATTTAGAATGCCGTGAGAAGAAGTGGATAAAATTTGCGCTATTTTCTGTGAAATACATTATTTCTAAGGTCATATTTGCTAAATATTTTTACATTTTAATATGTGGGTTATAATTATTGTTTAACGGCGTAAATTTTATAGGAGTTTATATTACTGCAAAGCCAAGAAATTATGCGGTTTATTTAAAATTTTACAATTGGCGCTATTTTTTTATTATCAATTGAATACGGTAAATCTTTGGAAATTTCGTGCCATGGGTGAATCGCTGGTTTTACACCAGTACGCTGAGCAAAAAATTGAAGCTTTTCGAACCCGAGAAAAATCGTCGGCGCACCCCAGTAAATAATTTAAAGAATTTTTTCTTTATTTTTGGTAATTTTGTCCAATATTTAACAACTATAAAATCGTTTTGGTATTTATTCTGGTGAGGTGAAATGAGATGGAAGATTAACATTTGTCTCAACTCGCCTCACCTCGTTTAACATTGCATGAGACGAGATATCTGTCAAAAGAAAAATGCGATTTGGAATGATTACAAATATGGCGTGTTCATAAGCTCATTAGATGGTCGTTTGTCTGAAAAAAGTTGAATTGTATAATTTATTTATTTTTGTAGAAAAATGTATTTTTTAGGGGTAAAAGATCGCCATTCAATCTAGAGAATTTGGCAGGTTTGTGTAATCTACGGATTAGCAACATCCGGATTAATGAGGCCTGGAGCAAGCTAAACTTAGCTTTTATTATGCAATAAATGCCAAGGTCGATGCAAGTGTTTGCATTTTTTCGTCAAGATCTCACAAGTTGATGTTGGACCGGCGAGATTCTACGCAAGATTTTTGAGGACTGGCAGTGTGAATTAATTGTAGCGGTAATTAAATTACAAATTTTACTAATTAATTAAAAATTAAATTTACTTACCATATTGTTATTGACACAATTTTCGTATTGAAAAAGAAAAAAAACTAAAGGAACATTTACTAAAATAAAGAAAATATTTTGAGCTCAATTTTTTATGAATAAAATCATTTTGTGATTTCAGAATTTTTACCACATACATAAATACGATAAAATTTATGTATTAGTTTAAATAAAATGATTAAAATTTCAGATCAATTAAAAGCGCGCATTATGCCATTTTGATTATATAATCTTGAATTATTTAAAAATAACTTTTTTTTATTAATACTTTTTAGATGGCATATCTCCAGCAAAAGTTCGATGGGGCTGAGGTCAAAGCAGCCTTTGAGAAAACGGCCAGCTACAATAACGATCGATGAACCATTAGCGCGTCCAATTTGGGTGACATGTTTCAAAATTTGGGCTTCTTTTGCACCCCGGAGCAGTTGGTGGAGTACAAGAAAATGTGGAACGGACCATACCATGGTTTCGTTCCGCTGGACATCATGACGAAAGTAATGGCGTCACTAGACGACAACGCGGAACTCATGAAGATCCTCGTCAGCGGGGCGGATGTCGACGGAAATGGATTTATCGAGGAAAAGGAATTCAACTCCCTGGTGAAATGTTTGCTGGCTCATAACCCGCAATTTGCGATTGTTGCGTACGACAACTTTTTGGCGGAAGCGGATACAAATAAGGATGGCAAGATTAGTATCACTGAGGCAGTAGATTGGTTTAGTGAACAGGGGAAAAAGGGTAAAATTGGTATGGAAGGAATCTAAAAATTGTGGTAAAAATTGGTATAAATAAATTGATTCGATATGTGACCACGTTCTGTTATTGGGTAAACTTATGTGATAAACAAAGTTAATTATCTGTGAGAGTTAAATGTAAGACATTATTCTTTAATACTTCATGTCTATATTATAATTTCAAAAAACCAGAAATTTTCCGTAGCTTCCCTGCATTCTAATTGGCTGTCAAAATTTACTATTTGATACTGTTGTATAGCTCCCGGTTTAGGTTTTCGAATTAAAAAAACTAAAAATAAGAATGCTTAGAATTGCTTCCTTTACAATTTAAAAACCTATTTTTAAATTTTTTGAAAATTCGAGTTTTTAACCATTTTTTATAATTGGGTAATTATGTATATAACTTAATTCTTCTTGTGAAAAAAATTAAAATTAAAAAATTTTAAATGCAATACAATTTAAAATAAATTTTAAAATGCCACTTTTTAATCGAATGGCATACTAGAGATTGAGGTGGTTGGACCATTTCTTTTGTCAGTGAGAATTATACTGAGCAATGACATCGAAACCGTGGACATTACTCATCCAGAACTTGATCTTATTCTACATGTTTCTAATCAAAAATATGTATTTTCCTCCAGTTGACGTAACCAATCATGCAGAGGAATGTATGATTTGCGAATGGGGTACCTTGTACGGTACAAGTTGTACGAAAGGTTAATTGCTTGCTACATTATCTTATTTGAAGTGGTAAATACTGAAATTTCGTGTCGTGATTGCACCATACAAATTAATTCTTTTTACGATACTTGACTTGGTTTGGCATCCACTTATTGACTGATTGATCGATTACTCAGACTCTACAAGTGACTCAGCTCCCTCAAGCACTTGAACTCGTTTTATAAAAAAATATT